TATTTTTATAGAAGGTGGCTGCACCATACTGTATTTGCTTTCTCATACAAGGCAGAAACTTGTTTGTAAACATCAGTTTACAATACATGTATATTGATTAAACTGGTAAATATTATTTCTCTGGTACATAATTTTATTTCAATGTTTATTTTCTTTTTCTGAAAACATTTTTTGTTTGTTTCCCATTATTGTGATTATTTTGATTATACTAAAGACGTGCACTGAAATTATTTTTTATTACTGACGTTTTAGGCTGTTGTATAACAACACTGCATGATTTTCCTTCATTTGACAAAACACTCCTTGATGTTATGTCTTTTTCATGTACCAGTAGTTAAAAAATAAACCAGTGTACAGTCTAAGTATAAATTATAATTGCTGGATTTGAACAGCAACTCTGGTTGTGCTGTTGGATTCTGGACTTTCTGAGGTGTCGCCAACCAAGAACCTGTCTAGGGAATAACAGGACATATTGCTCTCTGAGACAAGCTGCTCCCCAAGGCTTCCTACAGTATCTCTGTGGCTTTTTTCCCTTTTCACAAATTACTTCACATCTTAAGTTGGCTCGGTTATGATTTTTAATCATCCAAATGATACTATTATATTTGGTCTTTTCTCTGATAATGATGAGCCTCTGTACTGAGAGATTGACTGAGAACAACGTGGTGTTCTGATAAAGACCTTCTATTCAATGCATTAAAAGCTAGGGAAGTCATTATTGATTTTATGTGTGCCCAGAACATAAAGCTCCCGATCATCATTAATGACCATCCTATTGTGACTACAAATTCCAAAACACATTTTTGGGAACTTAAGTAATGATCATAAATGCAGCTCCAGCACAGATCAGATACAGTGTGTAAGGAGGAACAGTAGAGGATGTACTTTCTCAGGCAACTTAAGAAATACAGAGTAAACCAGCAACTTCTTTGCCAATTTTACACAGCCATAATTCAAAGGATTTTAACAACTTCCATCACAGTTTGGAAGATATACAAAAGGAAAGCTGGAAAGGATCGTGTCCAGAGCATGAGAAATAATAGGCTGTGAACTATCTTCAGCTTCACCCCTTTACACAAGACGTACCTCAGGTGGTGCCTATAAGATTATTTCAGACCCTCTCATCCAGTTCATAATCTTTTTTAGCTTCTTCATTCGGGACAATGGTTGAAATCAATCCTTTCAAAAACTACACGCTTCAACTTCAGCTTCTTTCCCTCTGCCGTAAGAATTCGAACTCTCCTCCTTCAGTTATTTAGCCTCCCGTGAGCAGCTCCTTTACAATTGTGTTTGCTGCATGCAAGGTTAATGTTAACTGTACGTATCTACGTGATTGTGTGATGCTTGTCTTTTAATTTCAGTTTATATGTATTCTTAAAATATTTTATGTGCTTTATGGCTGTTTCATCAGTGTTCTCTTGCTCCGAAAGCCAATGCCACCAACTACTGTTGTGTGGCAATAACGAATAAAGAAATACTCAAGATTCGCGTTTCAGTCTTTGGTTCAGTTTGACCCTGGACGGTATCTGTCCTAACAGCTGTCTGTGGACATGTGACAAGGAAGAGAGGAAAAATAACAGAAGTTGAAATTTTGCAAAGAACCACAGAGATTTGCCATGACTGCAATTATTAAAGAAACTCAAAGGTATTGTTGCAGAATTATTTTTCTTTATACAGTGGATCAATAATAAAATGATAGTGACACTGTTTTAGTCGGCATAGTTGTTTAATTGATTTTTATAAAATCAACATTTGCTGTAGCAATGCAATGGAACTAAATGTTTATTTTTTGTACTACTTCACAGGGTTGTAGATATAGCCCTGTTATTATACTCATTATGATCCTGAATAATGTGTTATTTTCCCCTTAATGTGTTTCTGGTTCTACTGTGTGTACAAATTGTGCGATTACCAGCGATCTGGTGAAGTTTTCAATGTCGTAGAACAGAAAAAAAGCCCTTTGTTTCGCGATTTCTAAAAGGTTCGATAATGTAGTGTTTTACGCTGATTTTTGTCTCCGATAAATAAAGTTATTTTTCGGGGGATGTTTGTCTATCCACAGCATTAAAGAAGCAGTGTTGTTCATCAATGAAATCGACCCAAGCAAATTTCCAAAACTGCTATCGCGAATTCTTCAGAAACTCCACCTAAAGGTACATTACTCTTTTGTAAGCTTCCAGATGTATGTGAAAAGGGCAAACGACCTTTACTGTCTTTGGGATACTATTTAAAGTAAACAGTTTTGGTATTAAATCTACAACACCTTCACTAGGTTATATTTTCCAACTTGGCTTGAAATGTTCTTAATGTAAGCCCCAGACACCTTATCGTCTTTAAGAGTATGCAACAGACATCAGCTTTTTTATTTTTAAGATTTGTAACGTGCATATTACCAAAAATATATTTATCACTAGATATCAGATAGACTCCTGTTTGCTGTGACTCTTACCACAAATAAGTTGCTTTCTGATGATGGGCGTATGATTTAAACAACTGTCTATATAAATCTACTAATCTGCTGTATATTATATATACTGTATATAATGAATAGAAACAGGGTGAAGCATTTTTTTCTAAATGTTGATGCATTGCTGTAGAGACTTCAATGTACGAACTGTGATACCGTTCTGTAATTAACTTACCACACTTCTTCATTTATCTAATTTTTATGATTCATGTTGCAGGCCGAACGCTCTTTCAGTGAGGAGGAAGAGGAGAAACTACAGACTGCTCTGTTGCTAGAAAAGCAAGCCCTTCATCTAGTCCTGGAAACAGTTTCTTATATTATAGAGCAGGCATGTCTTCTTTTGAAGCCACACTTTTGTATGCTTAAGTTAAAGCTTTTCAGATGAAATACATACGTATATTTGCCATTTTACTTCTGTCTTATATAAGCAGTGCTTGGAAACTTTTAGTATAGAAAAACAAAATACCCAGTCAGGTACTTCCAAGTAAATAGTAATTATTGGTGTAATTGCAGTCTCATGCTTTAGAGGGCATTGCTCTCCATAAATAAGTGTCTTTGCTCAGCAGGCACAGGGATACACCCTAGATGAGATACCACTCCACTGCAGGGCACACAGACACACAAACACACCCACACTCATACCAAGTCCAGCTTTCCCAGAAGTCAATTAACCTAATAGGATGTATTTGGACTGTGGAAGGAAACCAGAGCACCCAGACGAAACCCATGCAAACACAGAGCCGTGAATATGTTCCTCACAAAGTAGGTCAAGAATGCCGAGAATTTTTTCACCGAAGGAAAAAAAAAATGTTTGTAGGTTGAGAGCACAGAGCCAAACCAGTGTTTTTGAGTGGGTGATAAGGTTTAAAGATGGAAAAAGAAAATAGTCAGGTGGTGAAGAGTCTGAGAATGGCAGTGAACGCTCCAGTGTTCCACCTCGCGTTGTGCACCAGGCCGTACATGCATGCAGATGTGTTAAATCTAACACACATCTGTCCCCAACACATATTTGTGTTAGAGCCCTAACAAAAATATGTGTTGGGGACATTGCAAGCAGTACAAGCTAAACACTTGCAATACAAAAGTGGTTGTCCTGCAGATGTAGTCAGCCCAGACGAATGTGGCAGGTCTCTAATGTGGAGTGAGTTTATGATGGCATAGCATTATAATGCATTGTGAGGTGTGCTCATTCACCACGTACTGTAGTTACTGGTAAATCGTGCAGAACCTGTTGTCAGAGTATGCACTGGCATTGCTCCTCCCTGCATTACCAAAGAAATTAAAGATGATGCCCTTAGCATTTCTCAATGGCTGGATAAAAGGGTCATACGGATGCCTAATATAAACAAGAGCTAGATGGGCCACATGGCACCCTCTTGTTTGTAAACTTAAAAAAAAAGATAATGGTAAATGTCAGACTTTTAAAAACCTACACCTCACACCTAGTATTAACAGTGATTTCTATCCACAAACACAAAGTGTATGTGAAATATCTGTCAGGTTATTTCAGGCAGAAGCTGAGAAAATGCCTTTCTCTATTATGCCCTTCATCTTGTGATGCGAAAGCATCAGCACAAAAAGTGATATTTAATAAACAGCAGGCTAGTTGGCATTGGACTAAAATTAGATACAAACCCTAAGCAGTAGCAGTCAAAACAATAGTATGTGTAAGTCTTTTTGTTATTTTACTGCAGTTTTATAATTGAAGACCCAGATATAATTGATTCTAATTATGTGAATTTGCAGTAGATCTACAGTTAAAGTCTTGGTTAATTACCTTGAAGTCTTAACCTTGCAGTGTTCTTTTTACATACAGTACAGATACCCATGGGACTTTTGAGTAATAGGCTTTATCCTTTTATGGTATGAAATGTAAGTAAAACTGTAAGCTCTTCCAGTAGCTGTACAGACATTAATTAGCACTAATCTTGAGTGACCTAATATTCTTTGAGGTAAACAGGTCTACAAGTACAGCTCATTCTGGTTTGTGAAACAGGCCCTTAGAATTAAAAAGTGATTTTTTTAGGTGTAATTTGTGGATAATAAGCATTCTTTTCAAGTATGTAAGCGGATGATATGCTATCTTTTACTATAGTTTTTATATTGTTGAAGGAGTATGGAGTGTGTTGTTAAGGGATTTTGTGCTTGTGCTGTGATTTTGTAGTACTATATTTAGAGAGAGAATATGTCTTTACTAGCTGTCAGTTAGGTTTTGTAATTCATGGCCTCCCAAAACAGCAGAATATAACGCTTTAACCGATTTTGATTTCATGAATATAATTGCTCCCTTTTTCTAGTGCCCTCTGTAGACCTGCTATATTTTTAAATAATATTAAGTGGGAGTGTACTCTAATCTGCTTAGATCTAATACATATTTTAGCTTTTTAACTACAAATGAATTATTAAGAAAGAAATAGCACATCTTTCATTCACTAGGAACGGTGCATTCCTCTAGAGACAGAACCTTCTGGAAGCTTGAATAACTGAAGGATTGAGGTCAAGAGAAATAACTCGACTCATTTCCTATGTTCCTGTGCCAAATCTGTGCACAGCCGAAGGATGCTAGGCTAAAAGAAGCACATTGTATTTTGTGTTCATCTAATAGATTTCTTTGTTTTTTTAAGTACAAGGTTTTGACAAAATCCATATTTTTACTCTCCAGTTCAGTTTTGATTGGATTGGAATTTCTTTATGATTGCAATTGACATTTCATGATGCATAATCTTAACACAATTGCATTCTCCACAAGTCACATTTTTTAATTAATCCTGAGTTCACCTGCATTTTCTATCTTTTGTCAATATAGTTGTAAGAAAAATATTTTAAAAGGAATTGGTCCATTTTGTACCCTCAATAACAAGTTCAAGATTTCATCCCAAGAGATGTTTTAACTAGTTTTTGTTTCAATTTTACCTCTCCAGGCTGTCTATCACAATGTGAAACCAGCATCTCTTAAGCAGCAACTAGAAAACATCAAATTAAACCCTGACAAGGCTGAGGTCTTCTCTCAGGCATGGGCAACTGCAGGCCAAGACACTGTAGAAAAATTCAGGCAACGGATATTTGCTCCTAAAAAGGTAAGAGTTTTTTTTATTTTTCAAATAAAATCATGGTTCTTCTTGTGCAAAGTGAACATATTAATATGTGTGGAGCAAGCTACTCAGCAATGCTGTTGAAGCCAATACCATGGCTTCCTTCAAGAAAACACTGGATCAGATCTTTGGATCGATTAGCTACTAGCTACTTAATGGGCTAGTTGTGCAGAATGGTCTCCTCTCATTTGTAATTGTTTTTATGTTCTTACGCTGTTGTGTTCTTAATCTAAATGAATACATTGGTTTATCATTAAGAAGATAAACAGTTCTGAATAGCTGATGCTTGATATAGATTGATCCACATTTTTTGCTTACACGTTTAACCAATTTCGTAGCTTTAGTGCTAAATATTTTTCCATATCTAAGCCTTATTCATGTTTAATGCACTTGTACCATGTTTTTGTTTATACAGTATGGGAAAATGCATAATACAGTATACGTAGAATGGGGGATAACCTCTTGAAAGGACAGCACTTAATTTTAATCACATTGTAAATTTAGGATGCTATATTCTTTTCCATTTGATCAGTTATCAAAGTGTCCCCATGGGTCATTATGAACCTAACTGAAAAGTCCTTTCTCATTACTAGGAAACCATTAGTTATCTCATACAGAAGTAATTGTCTTTTACTTCAAAGCAAAAAGAACCTTTAAAAAGAAAGCTGCAATTATTTTCTTTCACTGCCATCACACTTCATGCCCAGGTGTTTCAGCTGTTCTGCAGGATATTTTCTTAATTTGATAAAAGTGCACTCGTTCTGTTTCAAACAAAACGGTCTTCTTTAAAAAAATAGTGCTTAAATGTATTAACTGATGGAATTCTTAAAGAACTTAGTGTTATTTGTTGAGCTCTTTCTAACTATCAGTCTATTTTGCCATGTACTGTATATATCTCCAATTCGGTTTCACCTGTTTGCTTTTTTTACTGGAGGAAATTAAATATATAAATTAAATGCCTAATTACAAATGTTATTGTTAGTAGAGTTAAGCTTATATTTTGAAATGCTTTGCTACTGAAGGAAAAAAAAGAATCTTGGACCATTACTTTGAAAAGCTGGTATCTATGACTTTATTAAAATGTGTTGTGTAATTGCTAACTTAGTGATACCGCAGGGTACAATACTGCAAATCACAGTTCTTTTTTACATCAGTTGTGTGATTTTCTGGATGTGACATTTATCGTTTCATGTATGCTTTGATTTTAGCTGGAGAGTGTTGGATGGCAGCTAAACTTAGAAATGGCACAATCGAGACAAGCAAAAATGAAATCGCCACGTGCTGTTTTGGAGCTTGGGATCAGCAATGAAGACTCGGAGGTAAATCTGCCAGGGTTTTTTTTCTGTCAAGCTCTCTTCAGTGCCAGAATTGGATGTGAAATTATTTTGTTATCATCAAGCATGTGCTCTTTTGTTCCATCATTATCTACGCTGGTGATTTGTAATTACAGTAGATTTGCAAAACCCAGAGACTCCTTCCCCGGGACTTGCCGCTTTCATAAAAGATGCAAATCCTGTCTCAATCCCTCCTGACTGAGTTAGAAGTATAAAAAATAAATAGAGCTCATTAATAATACCTTGGAGGGCAGGGTTGTTTATAACTCCAATGGGGCATTCACCATTATCAACAGTCTGCCCTGTTCCTGACAGACTTCATCTGCATCCCTATTTCCATTTGCAAAATAAAGAAGAAATAAATGAGTTTCTCTTGCTTTGGAGGGCTGCTTCTTGAAGCAGTTGTGAATGCCACGAGAGTATATTTTCTGTTAGTAGAGGTGTGTTCAAACCTTTGCTGAACACTGCAACCCTCTAGACACTCTGCTGCTGACAGCCTTGGTAACCACCCTTCCAAATGTCAGCTGAACATGTCTTACAGCTTGTTTGCTAAATTCTAAAATGGGCAATGCAAGTACAAATTTATTTGAAGACATAAGTCCCGTACATGATTGTATTTAGCTCAGCTGCTGTACTTGTTCCCGACTCTTTCATCATTGCAGAAGAAAAAGAAAGGCCTGTATTAAAATAGAGATAATTTTCTATACTTCTATTAAGAATTAATGGCATCTAACAGAAATATAAAATCCACAGGGTTTGTTGTGAGAATTGTTTTTCTTTCTCTATTTGAAATGTAAAGGTTTGATAACAAGGGTCTGGGCTTCACTTTTTATAGCGAATTTAATGTCGTTGTGCAGCTACGATTCATTTATCTGTTTGCTAAATCATTATAATTCTCGTGTTTTATATTTACTTTCCTAAAAAAAACTGTGTTTCATCAATATGCTGGGTAATTGTGTAATAAATCTTTTACCCTGTGATTCTTTTCCTTACCAACTACAATTTCTCAGGATTGAAAATTGAGTAATTTACATTTACTGATGTATTCCCCGCTGGGAATTAAATAGGGCCTAGAGCAAAGTGGCAAATGTGGAGCAACAGCCTTGTGTATGTAACAGAGAGAAGTGTTGCTAAGCGTTGTAATTTTTTTTGTTATGCAGTAGGGGGCACTGTTACCACATTAAAAAAGAGCATTACCCAGTGTATAACTGACTGGTATGATTAGCCAAGGAATTAAATTGTACTGATAATAAAGTATGTATGGTTGGTCGTTATATTAAAAATTGGTGTATGAAAAGGTTACTTCTTACTACTCCTTACTTTAATCTACTAAATAGACTAATGCAAACTTTATAAAAAATAAAACCGTGCATAATGTGAAAATAATTATTTAAAATACAAATATTTTGTTATCTTACTAATACCAGTATCTTGTTAATCTGAAGTTGCTGTGACGTTCATGTGAGAAACTGATGAAGGAAATCATTTAATCTTCTTTTTAATTGAACTGATGTATTAGGAATTTTAGTAGGTCCAATGTACGGTGACTGTTTTAGCTAAAGAACATAAATGAGCTTAAAATGAAGACTACATAGCCTGTGTTCTAATGAAGGTTTGGATTGAGCACAAAGTAAAAAAGGAAATGTGTTATTTGATTGGGTGATTCACATTTATTTAAAATTATTAAAAAGAGCCATTTTCACAGTGTGCAGAGATGATACTTTAGAAATACACAAAATAACACATTTGACCTTTTTTAAGAAAATGTAATTTCTAGGTAATTGCATTGCAATTTAATGATCTTTTGAATTTCTGTATGTTTCACTTTTAGAAATTGTATATTCTGTAGACTTGCTTGCTAAAACAAACTGGCTCTGAAACAAAAGGTGAAAAATGTATATATATACCTGATCCAGTATTCCAGCTGGAAAGCTTAAGGCAGTATTTCTCCTAGCCAATCCTATAATATTGACCAAACCAATAATGAATACACATATAGATTTTTAGCATCCTTGTACTGTACTTAATTTTATTTCTGTGTATAGATGCATGAAATGAAAAATGTATACTGTTTATATTCATATATGTATGTATTTACATGAAAACAAGCACACAATACTTTAATACCAGTTTGGATCATAAAAGGTGGTGAAATGGGATTTTACCATCTTTCCACTTCACTAAAAAACGAAAAATAAAACAGCTGCTCTGAAGCCGTTGAATATTATTGATTTAGGATGCAACTAGTCCATGAAATACTGTAGGTCTGTTCTCTGGAGGGCTACACAGAGCAGCAGACAGAGCCCTTAAGGTGTTAGACTGTGCATACATTCTGACTGGTATCACACAGATGTTTATTTTAAGCTAGCCCAAAACAGATCTTTAAGCCTGTCTTTGGGAAAAAAAAAAGCCTTTCAAAAAGGAACAGCTAATCAGTGAATGATGCACTGGAGATGATGACAGTCGATGTGTGAACTGCGTATGTGCTTCTTTCTCTGTCTTTTGTACTGTTCTGTTCTGTACCCCTCTGCTTTTCCCGTTGTTTGTTGTTCTAAATTTAAAAGCTGATGTTTTGTTTCTGTCTGCGCAAAGCATTTTAATGTTTCCACACACTGGAATTTCATTTTAATCACGTAGAGATAAGAGTAATAGTGAAATGTAACATTCATTATCCAAGTCTGAGACTCACCCAAAACAGATAATCAGATAATTTATTCAGGGATGCCATCGATGCTTAAACGAAGAATATTAATGACAGAGTTTACATGCGTGTTTATCCTTATCTGAGCTATCTCTGGTTGAGCCAATTGAAAAATGGGCCCATTCTATTTCCAGGTTTTATTATTTTTTATTTGGAGGATGCTTTTATACAAAGAGATGATGACATTTGGACCCATTTGTACAACTGGGCATTTCACGCACGCATCTGAGTGCAAAATCGTGCTCCAGGGTGCTACAGCACTGTCCCACCTGGGATATGAGCCCACAGTCTTGAAGTTTTATGTGTCCAGAGCCTTCACCACAGTTCCCTCCACTGCGCCTCTGTTTTGTGGGAAGGCGTGGGCTGACGTTCTGATGAATCGGGCAATTCTCATGTTGTTTTAATAGAAAACACAAATTGTGTATTTTTTTCTGTGTTTTTTTGTGCATTTTTTGGAGAATTTTGCCAGAGAATCCATAGTGGTTTGTTGCGGTCTTGTGTGATTGAACTTGTGTAAAGCACACTGGTCTTCAGATGCAAGGCACACCAGTAGTTCACACATCAAGCGTATTCCTAAAAGGTTGCAACCGCCCTTATAATATAGCAAGTGCAGGCTGCTGCTCATTGCATTAATGTGGTTTTATGAATGCCCTCAAATCCTCTTAGCTGAATAACAAAATGTATGCTTTTCTGCTGATGTTGAGTAAGAGTAGGACAGATGAACACTGCACCACACAATAATAATAATTTATTTGATGGCATATAATGAAATTGTCCAGCCCTGGTTTTCAAGATCACTATTGCTAAATTCAGTTTGGGAAGACGGTATTATAGAGTTCTGTGCCAGACTCTTTTTCGGGTGAAAATGGCTTTGTTTATTCCCCTTGTTTGTCGATTTCATGTGTTTAACCTAAACTTTTAGTTGGCCTTTTTAACAAACAAAACCTAAACCTGGACCAATACGGCTTCACACCTAAGTTTCTTAGCATTAATATTAATATCCAACATAAGTGCCAAATTCACCTAGGTAACAAACACCATTTCTTAAAATAATGTAGAACTGTGGCTGTAAGGGTCGATTCAGCCCTTTGATTGTTTTTCTTGATGCACTGTAAATTGTTTGGAGCATAGACATTTTCAGCAGACTATTTTAAGATATTGTGAGACTACAATAAAGTCTCAACTATTATTATTTCTTTTATAGTTGTGTTTTTAAACGTATTAAATCCCTTTAAAATCTCATACGATCCAGGGAGTCAAATTTTAATGTTTTAACTAGCTGCAGGGGCTTCTAGTTATTTATCCAGCTGCAGTTCATCTGATTGTTTGATCAGCTGAGCATATTTAAAATATTTTCAGGTTCTTTTAAAATAACAGTGTTGTAATAATATATAATTGTAAAGCTAGTTAAAAGTTCAGTTCAATTAAGTTCATACCTGAGAGCTCTGGGAGAATGAAATCCTGAAGCTCTACAGGCCAGCTCTGTCTGAGTTTAGTACTGCTGATAGGTGTCACCAGAGGAAAGATACAGAGACTGTAGAGACAAGGAAATGTGAGATCATGCTGAAAAATTGTGAAGGCATAGTACAGAACTTGAAAATATGTTATGGGTAAAGAAGAAGATGAGGGGTATCTGGTAAATATGCTTTTGAAAGATTAAACAGAGTACCTCCAGCCTCTCTGATTTCACAAAGTGGCTTGAATGCACAGACAGGCCTTGTCTTCTGTATTTTAAAAATGTCAAGAACAGTGACTTCTTAAGATGTTGATAAAATCATGTATTTTAGACGCAATGCTCCTGATATTTTCTGCTCCAAAATATGAGATCATCCATCTCAATTTCACAATTAGTATTCAAACTTATGTTTTATTTTTTTAAACAAATTTTGGAAAGTGATTATAAATTAATAGAATATGTTGCAAAACCTGTTGTATTGATTGCTCACCTACTGTATTCAATAATGATGAAACTAAAATACAGTCTGTTGATATTGTTTGGGTCCTGTAGGTTTCATTAATTCAATTGAGAATTTGGTATGAAATTCTTTAAAAACAATTGGTAGCTGTAAAAATATTTTTTTAATTATATGCAAAGCTTGTAAATGGGAAAATGTTTTTAAAAGGCATTCCTGTGCTCCTTAATACAACTTTTCTGTTACTCATTGAGAGAGCTGAAAGGAAGTGTTTCAGGCCATATGTGTCATTCTGTCTCTTATATAATGATCTTTGTGTTCAAAATAAAAAACAGATCCAGTCTGTCTCAGTGGTTCTGCTCCCAATCTGA